CTATCTATCTATCTATCTATCTATCTATCTATCTATCTATCTATCTATCTATCTATCTATCTATCTATCTATCTATCTATCTATCTATCTATCATTTAGACTGTTCAGTATTGAGTCATGTAAAACCAATATTATTTGCTAGTAAGCTATACTTTGTGCGAGAAGTCTTCCTGTTGTAACTGAGTTATGTTATCGTCTTCAGGAACCAGGATCTATCTGAGGCTCTGGACTCCGGTGGTTCAGACATGGAGATGGAGAAGAGCATCGTCCAGGAACATACAACTCAACATCGAGCGAAGATGTGGAAGGTGAGTAGCATCTCAGGTCCTGTTTAACGCAGCTGTTGGGGTTAAATTATTAGCAAGAAGTCAAAAAGTTTGATTTAAAAGTTTTAGACAGTTGCAGGAAATTTAAGGGTGCTTTAAAAAATATGTTACTGAAGAAGATAATTTTGAGATTGATGGTGTTCAAGTTGTACAATTAAAGGAGACCAATTATGGGTCCTCGAAATTTTTATGGTATGTCTGTGGGCTATTCAGACCATGTTCATTCAATTTAATGCACAAAATAATTCTCAGATAATAAAATTTCCCATTTTCTAGTTCTGCCTGCTCTGACTTCTGTTCAGAAGAGCTGTTTATGTTAATGAGCTCTGTTGGTAACACCCTCCAAAAATCTGTTGACATTAACTCCGCCCTCCAAATCCAGCATTTACCTTAGCATGGCTAATAATAGCAGAAGCTCCATTGTACAACCATGTGAGACCCAGAGGCAGAGTCGTGGTTGCAGCTTCTTTTTTTCTCCTCTCCCTCCTCTGCTCTGCCCTCACTCTGCATGCTGTTACCAGAGCAGGGAGCAGCAGCGGTCAAAATACCTCAGAAACTCAAACAAATAGGCTTTAACGAGGCTTTAATAAGCTAAACAATAGAGATACATGAGAAAACGTGTTCATAATGAATGAAAATAAATAATTAAATTGTTTGTGTCCATACCGGTCTCAAACCCTGGTCTCCCACTCTCTGGTCCAACACTCTACCCATTGCCCTATTGGAGGCTTGTTGTGAAATGAGCTGCACATTGCACAACAACACCGTGACGGCTTTTTATACTGCGGAGGAGGAGTCTCACCCAGGGGTTTCTAGGTAAGGGGCTGAACGCAGGTTCTGGTGGGTTGTCGTACGGCTTGTGACATCACAAAATGACGGAAGTATGAACCTTGTCGTTAATATACATTAAAAATACATTTACTTACAGTAAATATGCCCCTGGGTGCACTTTTTTGTCCTAGGACTGTATTTTTTTAAGAAGTACATACCCAAAGTTGAGTAAAAAAACCTTTTTAAAAAGTGAATTTTGCATAACAGTTCCCCTTTAATTTATTATTGATTTTGTTGTGTTTTCTCTGAGTGCTTACTAGGGGTTTGATGGAGTTTTAAGATTGTAGATTTTATTTTCGTGATCTTCATGTTGATGTTTCTTTATTTGAGGGTTTGAAATGGCTCCTTTGATTTAAATTTTTATTTAAAAAAATTATTTGTTTTAATTTTGTTGTTTCTCTGAGTTGTGTTTTGTTTTAATGTGTTTGTATTTTCTGTTGTTGGGCCCCAGGAAGAATAGTCTCTGCTGAGGTAGAGACTAATGGGGACCCTAAAAAAAGAGAGTAAATAAATCAGCCATCTTAGTGCAACAGTTCAGATCTGGGACCTCATTCAACTGAACACTGGTGTACGGACTAAACTTGAAATATTCAGATTTATCAAACTGTACCATGCATGTATCTGCACCTTTCCTTCATACAGTGAGGAGAACAAGTATTTGATACACTGTTGATTTTTCAGGTTTTCCCACTTGCAAAGCTTGTAGYTGACTGTATTTTTTATCATAGGTACTCTTCAACTGTGAGTGATGGAATCTAAAACAAAAATCCAGAAAAATACAATGTATGATTTTTAAATAATTAATTTCCATTTTATTGTGTGAAATTATTTGATCATCTGTCAACCAGTAAGAATTTTGGCTCTCACAGAC